TGTTTTTAAATTTGGAGATATATTTTCGGACGCACTAAATTTTAAATTAATGTTAAAATATCTTAGAGATACTTCTTCAAACTTATTTCAAAGATGCATCTTTGAAATGTATTGAAATTTAAATCGCATTAAACCCTTTTCTTTCCTCATTTCTAAAAAAACTCAAAACCTCTTCAAATTCTCTCAAATTGTTTTCATCATCAAGTTCAAAATCAAACAATCAAGCTCAAATGATCTTCAATCAACATCAGAAATATCATCCAACACTGAAGCAAAATGAAAATTTGTTAGTTTTTGATGTTTCGACAAGTTTTTTGAGTTTTTTGCAAATGAGCAGAAAATGATGATTTAGGTATCAAATGAGTAGAAAATGCAAGAATGTTAGATTATACAAGTTGTAAAACATGTTTGTTTGTTAAAAATCCCGATCAAACTGTTTATTTTGAGGTTTACATTTTTGCATTGCCTCCATTGATGAGCTGAAGAGTTACAGAAAATTCTAGAGATGCATATTTAAAAATTTTCAACATTTGGTTACATTTACCCAGAGATGCATCTCTATAAAGTAGCAGTATGTTTTATTTTTTGCTTTTTTTGTTTGTAGTGTTACTTGCTTGTACTAATTGTCTAGCTTACTTTAACTAATAAGCATTACGATTGATAGACACGATAGGTTGAGGCACGGGAGAATTGCACATCATGCATTAGTCCGGCGGAAGAAGAGTAAGATTTCAGAGGCTCCTGTTTACTCTGGTCATGCAGAGACATCTACTTATGGGGCTCATGCTTCTCCGTCTTCTTCTTCCCGTAGGAGACTAGTTTCATCTACTAATGCATCACTCCCTCTATTGTCCCGCAGGCACTGGGTTTCACATATTCCGACGCCAGAGGTACCCAAGTCACTAGGGGTGCCAGAGGCACAAGTGCCACCTCCGACAGATGGTGTTCCTATGCCAGTGTCACCTCCTATTGCTGATGTTGCTGAGCCAATACCTTCAGATGGTGAGGCTGCTGAGGATGTTGAGCCAGAGCCATTTGGAGGAGGCCTTACTGTCTTTGTACCCAAACCATATTTTCAGACATATTTTGGACAAATAGATAACATTAGTTGGATTTATTCTTTTAATTTATAAGTTTCAGAAATTGATTTATTGTTATGCAAAATCGTGATCCATTGAAGATTATTAACCACGGGCGAAAAATTATTAACTTGTGCATGACCGATTATATTACGGTCAACCATGGGATGCTTAATGCATTTGTGGAAAGATGGCACATCGAGACCTCAACAATTTCATCTCCCACTTAGTGAGATGTCTATCACACTCGACGAAGTATCGTGTTTGCTACATCTTCTTATCAGGGGGAAACTTCTAGATCAAAGGAAGATTAGCAAAGACGAGGCACTCGAGATGATGGTAAACTATTTGGGAGTTGACTTAGCAGATGCGATATTGGAGATGGATAGAACCAAGGAACTCATGCTAGATTTGAATTCCTGAAAAGGTATATAGATATGAGCTCTTTAGAACATATGAGGCTAGAGGCGATGACGAGCAGGTGAGACTTCATAGAGCGCATGCTATGAAAGCATACCTATTATATTTGGTTGGCATTGCAATTTTTGTGGACAAGAGTGCCACTTATACCAATGTCGTCTACCTACGGTACTTTAAGGATTTTGAGCGGATCCATGAGTATAATTGAGGGGTGCTTATTTGGTCTACTTATATTCGAAGTTACTAAAGGGTTGTAGGGGGAAGACAAAGCAGGTCACCGGAAGCATCACACTACTGACTGTAATATTTATTGGTCTTTTAATATTTCTGTGTCATTTTCATTTCATCTTTGAAACGTCATTTGTGGGTTTCAATCTTTTTAGGATTGGATCCTCCAGCACTTCCCGTGCATCTTCATCTAGGCAGGTGTACCGACTTACACTGAGGATATGTTGTGTGCTACTGCATTTTTCCCACTTAGAAGGAATCGCATGATATAGTTATTTAGATTATATTATGACCGCTTAGTTGCCGAGGACATGCACTTCAACAGCTATGTTGATCACTGTAAGACACGACCATTAGATGAGATAGTGTTATACTCAATATGGTTGGCTTGCGGATCACGTCTCACTGCCTCACATTTTCCTGAGTGCGTGATGCGGCAGTTCAACTGCACTTAGTCTATTCCTAGACACCATGTTGTCTCTGTTCTTCTTGCTTTGAGACATAGAAAAATGGATGAAATATTTGATGATTATGAGAGTCATTTGGTACTTGAGGAGGCATATAGTACCATAGTTGAGAGCGATTGAAGCTACGTCGACGGGTAAATCAGGTGGTTCTTTAGGGTGTCACATTTGTATATGGTGCAAGCTGCTCCAGGAGATCCACCGAGGCCAGCTCATTAGGAGATACTAGAGGAGGGGCAGACACAATTAGATCATATTGAGGATGTCTTCCCTAGATGTCGTCGCGTAGTAAAGATTGCGCAGGCAGGCATTTACATAGGTATCTTCCCTGATGGGTCTGATGTGAGGTAGGTTCTAGAAGCCATCATGATTAAGGCACATGGGGAATTGATGTACCAGAAATAGCACCGAAGGGTGGGGGAGATTGATGGCCAGAGAGCTAGATGAGGAAGAGAAAATGTAGTCTGACATACACAGTAGTGCAATAGTATATAGTAGTTGTACTTTGAATTCATTTTATGGATTATATTTTATTTTTACCTCATGATACTTTATCATGTATTTTAACTTTAGTTATATATGACATTTTTGGACCATCTGAATTTTTATACATCATTTTTTGCATATCGTATGTATGGTTTAAATCCCATCACATAACATGGCACATAAATTTTAGAAATCTTCATCTGAATAAACAAAATATAACATGCATTGTTCTGATATGTTACAAAGATGTATCTTCGTAAAATAAACAGAGATGCATCTCTGGTACAATATGTGTATCAACTGCCTTTCAGAGTTAAGGCATGGTGTATGAATTTTAAAATATTATGGAGATGCGTCTCCAAATCATTTAACATTTTAAAGTGTGTCCGAAGATGTATCTCCAGAATCTGAGGGCATTTAAGTATTTTTAGTTTGTGCCTAAGTAATATATAGAGTGCATTAAGAAACTCCCTTTGGTTTAATGCATTAGGTTTGGATCAAGGAATGTAATAAAATTTTAGTTTAATCTCATTAAATTCAAGATTATATTGATACAAAAAAAGTATAATTTTATTAATCCAAAATGTTATGAAATTTTGGTATGGTAAATAACATGTTACAAAGACACTTTAATCACATTTTAGTTAATTGTCTTGATTTTATCACTTAACTAACTATAAGATTTCAATTTAGTCTCTTATTTAAATTATTGATTTACTATTTTAATTTTTTTCCATATTGTCATGTCACATATACACACCTTAAAGTTTTGCCTTAAATGCACTTTTAGTCCCCCTAGTTTGGGCGTTGTAAACAACTTGTCCCCCTATTACAAAACTACCAAATTTGGTCTCTTAATTATGATGGACTTTGTATTTTTATGATCCATTGTCCTTTTTTGCTTATGTGGTAGTTTCATTAATGAGGTGGCATGAACCATTGGGGTCCATGTCAACAAATCCTAATATTTTAATTCCCAGCTGGATATTTTAATTTAAAAAGTATTAAAAATCATTTTTAAATTAAAAGAATGATTTATAAATTGCTTCACTGTGTTTCATGTTGTTCTCCTCCATCGTTCTTCTTCAACCTCTTATATCCTCTTCTGCAAAAACATGTTTCTCATCGTTTATTCATTCTAGATCTAAAACAAAGCCATTGAAAGCCCAATGTGTTGTTTCTATTGTTGATGTCACAACAAGCTGTTTTTAGCCATGGAAGTAGATCTTCAAACCGTTCGAGGTACGTATGCAAGTGTGGGTTGAATGCTCCATTGATGGCGGCATGGATTGATGCTAACTCAGGTTGTCGTTTCTATAGACGTGGGATGTATAAGGATCTCCATTGATGTTTACAAATTCAATGTTAATGGTCTGGTATGTTTATAACTTCATCTCCATTAATGCCCACTGATTCAAGGTTACAAGAAATGCAATCACTTTGTTTGGTTGGATGAGTAGATAAATCCTAGGGGGGAAAAAGTTAATCTTTGCTTTATTAAAGAACATAAATGAAAAGAAGGCGACGTTTAAATTGCACAAAGCAAAAGAGGAAGAATTGAAGATGAAAGTGAAGTTGTTGAAGAAATAGTTCAAGATAAACTGGATGTTGTTGTTTGTTATGTTGTTTTCATTTTTTGGGACAAAATTGATGAAATAGGTTGTAGGTGATTAGATTTTAAGGTTATGTTTCTATGTTGTTTGATTGTAATGGTGTAAGGTGGATTGTAATATATTTTGAATGAAATTAATGCTTCAATTTTGTTGTTGGTATTGATCATGTTGTGGACCTGTAATTTATACTTCAATTTTTTGTTCAAGTTGTTGGTATTATTCATACTGCTATTGTTCAATTTTTTTATATTGCATTATGCAAATTGTGTTTAACATACAACATAAAAGGCACAGATGCCTTGAACAGACAACATAATTGACACTGATGCCTTGAACTGACAACATACACAAGAATTGTTTGAACATAATTGGCATTATACATAATTGGAACTATTTGAACATAATTGTTGGACCTGTTTGAACATAATTGGGATTATACAGAATTGGATCTATAATTTGTATTGCAGTATGTAAAATAAACCATAAGTACAACTTATGTAATAGACAAAATACTTAACATTTGAACATTAATACTTGAACCTTGTTTGAACATTAATATTTAATCATCCAAAATAAGCCATAAGTACAACTTAAGCAATTAGTAAAACCATACAAAATATAGAAACCATACAAAAGGTATATGACTTAATACTTAACACATAAGTACAACCATACAAAATAATTCATAAACTACTTAAGCCATAATGAAACTATTCTTGAGTGGGTTGAGGAGCTTGTGAACTTTGAGCAATTTCTGTGTTCTTTTCTTTTAACTTTTTGGTTCCCTTTCCACCTTTCACTTTCTTATCCATCTTTGGCTTATTACCACCCTTAGGAATTGCTATATCAGGTTCCCTTTTGCCTTTACATTTCATCTTATTATGTCCCATAGCACCACCTTTTGCACATGTGACAATTGAAATTCTCCTTGGTAGTATGTGAGGATTTCTAGGTTCATCATTTGTTTTGTTCCTTTGCTTTTTAGGCCTACCTATAGCTCTCCTCATCACTGGCGGTGCCACTGTATTCATATCAGCTATGGGACACAATTGTGGTCCATTTGTTGGATACACAATGTTTGAATATGTGTCCATAAAAGTAGTTTTCCTAAGCAAAACATATCAAGTTTTCAGGTTCAAAACATATACAGTTTTCATGTACATACTAGAATCCAAACAAAACATATTAAGTTTTCATACTTATAACATGCAGCAATATAATTCTCAGGTTGTTTCTTGATGTTCCATACACAAGAAATTACATGACAACATGATATACCAAACAGGTCCCACTTTCTACATGAGCAAGTTTCCTTTTTCAGATCCACACAATATGTTTCCATTCCATTGGTGACACCAAATATTGATATGACATCATCATAATGCCATGTTGGACTCTACCCTTGTTCTTGCTTCTTATGTTTCTCAATAATCAGCTGAATTTTAGGACATATGGATCCAGTCTAGTTATGTAGCAACTTTTTCTGACTTGTCATCCTCTTGGTGATGTAATGTTTGATGCCTTCTAATAGTGTGATATTAGGCTTCTCCATGTGCTCTAATATTGCCCTATTGAATGTTTCACATATGTTGTTCACTTGTAAGTCACACATTGAATATGTTCTAAAGTGAGATCTGCTCCAATGGCAAGCAGGGACATCCAACATATCTTTCCATCTATCCTCTTTCATTGCCTTCATTCTCTGCATTTCCCTTTCCCATGTTGGAACTGTTGTTGCCCTAGCAGCTTCCCACAGTACTTCCTTTAATTCCAACCCAGGGTGCTGCTTCTTCTAATTTTCATATAAGTACTTCACACACAATCTGGACTTCACATTGGCACTGATGCCTTGAATAGCTGGAACTAGTCTCTGTCATATGAGAATTGACAAGTAAATGTAGACAAGTTAATGCATAATAATGACTTCTCGACAAATGTACTGATAATTTTGCAATAATAAAAAGATTGAACCCAAAAGGACTGTGTTCGAACAGAACAATAATTTTTTCAACATTAACTAAAAAAATTAAAGAGGGGGGGACTGGCTATAACGGTTTCATAAGTTTCAGTGCAAAAAGGTAAATTTAAGAGAAAACAAGGTCACGAAGGCAGTTAAGTTTTATTTTAGAATTCCTTTATCCCCTCTTGTTGATGTACAATGCCTTGTATGAATTGTCTAATCCTTATAATCTTACAGCGAACTACCAAAATCGTTAAAGCCAGTCCCCCATGAAATAACTCACTAACAACTACTAGAAGCTTTCTATCCCCTAATCCGCCAGCATAACCAGTGTTAAGAGATGAATATATTGTTAGTTCTATGTGCCACTATTCGAGGTATCATATCCCTATTCAACTAACTTAATAAAATAGTTGCCTTGGGTCCAATACATAGCCTACGGGTCAGGAATCCATATGCATCTAACAACATATTAACAGGGTATCTCAAATAATACGCATTAAGAAAAAGAAACAACTGAATAAAATTATAAGTGATAAGGTTCATTCAAAGTCAAACCTCCATATAATGCTAGCAAGGTTGAATAAATTTCATCACACACAACCTAACCTGTGAGAATTTAGCTACACATAGTTAAAATTACAATACCAATTGATAAAAGATGAATAGAATATGAAATCCCATGAAGGATTGGCCTCCAATGGCTTTCAATGCTCTCAAAATCACCCTCTAATGCTGTAAAATCGTGCTCTCATTGCCAAGTTTTGTAACCCGTGCAAATGTGAAGAAAATCTCCTTTTAAAGTTGTTAGAATGGGTCAGAAAAAGTCCATAAAAAGTTGTCATTGCGCGCTCTATAAAATCATCGCACGCACGATGGTTCCTTTACTTTTCTATCTCGTGTGCGATAGTGCGTGATTTTTTTAGTAGCTGCGTGTTTTTCATCCCTTTTTCACCAGAATTTTCACTAAGTCCCATTCTTCCATACTTGGTCAATTTTCACTCATTCTTGGGTCTTTCTTTATCATTTTGGCTCATCTTTTGCTCATTTCCCCCCGATTCTTCGACTGAATTCATGTAATTACGAACTATCATCACAACCCCAAACTTGAATAGTTGTTTGTCCTCAAGCAACTCACCTGATCAATATTTCATCTTCCAATTTCCATTTGGCAATTTCTGAAAACGTCCTCAACCATGATGAGTACTCAACTTATCTCTCAGCTCACTTAACCCACTCAAATGATAGGGTTAACACTCAATTAACATGCAAAATCAATTAAACTTAGCTTGATTATGTTCTAACAAAGTTAAACGTAGAAATCTCAACACACACATTTAGAGGGATTTTCCTAGTTCTACCTTGTTCATCATACCTTGTTCGTTGGTACTAGAGATTTGTGATCCTTCTTACATTATCATTCTTTTATTTTTGTCATTTGTTCATCATATTTTTTTTTGAAGGAGTGTTTTTTTCACTTCTTTTTTTCTCGACAAATTTTAAAAATTATGGATCAAATTCTCTTTTATCCCCACCCCAAACTTAAAAGCTTTGCTCACTTCCAAAAGCAACCCCAAACTTACACTTTTTCATACCTTTAAGGACAAAGCTACTACCTAACTCCAAAGAGAGGGTTGAGTTAAAATGATATTTCAAGGAATATGTCAAAGTGTTTAAGACTACGTCACTGAAAGAAAGGCTTAGGCTCAAAGTTTTTAGCAAAGGATAGTCCTAAAACTAAAGTGTGGTTTACAAAGGCTCAAAGTTATATAAAAAAATGCCTCAGTATTGTCGCTACGCGGAAAATGACACAGAGTCGCCACCGGATTTTATTTATCCCAAGGAGGGAAAGGGAAATAGCGATAAAACCTTTGGGAAAAGAGCATGGTCATCGCAACCAAGTCTTAGGGTTCGGGAGTCGGTTATGCGAGGGGAAGGTATTAGCACCCCCTCGCATCCATCGTACTCGATGGGAACCTTCTAGGTTATTTAGCGTGAATGGGTGTTTTTATTATTAAAAGTGTGTTTGCTTAAAAGAAAAGAGGGGTTGGTTTTTATTTTAATGCTCGCCAAGGATTGTGGCCCTTGTGCCTACGTATCCCCACTTAAAAGAAGTGAAAAATCATAGCTCCGTAGTTTGGAGGCTTGTGAAATGGTTGTTTGTTGGTTGATTTTATACCTTGAAAAAGGGTTTTCGGATTGATGCCCTAAGGCGAAAAGAAATTTGACGAGTTGATGTTATTTTTAGGTTTTTGAAGAGAAATTGTCCTTGATTAGGATTACACAAAAGACTTTGGATAGAGATGAATGTTTCGAGTAACCCAGTCGAGCGCCTTGTATTCAAAATATTCGGAACGAGTGCAGGAGGGTTCCATTCTCATTCCTTCTCCACCACTTTAAAGTTTATGGTGTATAACCCTAATCGTATATTTATTGTGTTTTGGATTTTTTATGAGAAAAATACATCTTGATGTTGGATCAAGGGTTTTATTGTTTGTGAAAATATTTGAAGTGATGCGAATAAGGTCGATGGCGGACGCACAAGGCAGTCGACTTACAAGGTCGAAAATGGCTCAATGAGAATCGAGAGTTTATTTTCTTAAAAAAGGATTTTTTGGAACCAAAGGTTAAAAATGACCAACAATAAAATATCCACACACAAAGGCCGTGCAAACACAACTGGTTAGACGGCTTGAATTAAAACACATAAAAAACGGCATGAAATGCCATCAAGGGGTTCGCCATGCAAACCCCTTGAATAAATTTCTTTAAGGTAAAATAGCAAAAAAAAAAAACGTGAAAAACAGGGGCTTGACACGGCCCGTGTCAGGAAGTGCCTACAACATGGGTTTTTGAGGCAACAGAGGGCTGACACGGCCCGTGTCAGGACACCTGGAAGGTACGCGCGAGGAAAACATTAAACAGCGGGCTGACACGGTAGCCCGTGTCAGCCCTACTAGGTGAAAAAACTTATTTTTTTTCCTTTGTTCTCTTTCTTTCTTGTGGTTCTTACAATGGTTCCTTGGTCCCCCTTGGGGCCTTTACACAAGGTACACAACACAAAACACTTAACAGAGATGATAAATGATAATAATGCAAAATATAAAGAGAGAAAAGTTTGAAGAAATGGATACCCAAGAGTTGTTACCCTTCTTGCAAAACCTCCACTGATTTTGATTGGGTGTTCCCTCCACTCTTCACTCTATGTTTTGATGGTTATGCTTCTCAATGGTTCTCTTGACTCTCTATATTTCTCTATCTCAATGTGTGTTCAATCCTCTCTCTTTCTACTGCTATTGCTTTTCTTTTATATCCCAAAGTATTAGGGTTTACATTTATTTTTAAACTTCAGAATTTCTACACTTAGAAATATCCAAAAGCCACTCTCTTGGTGCACCCTTTTCCTTCAGAAATCTTACTTTTTGCTGCACTTTTGCTGCTGTCCCAAAACAATAGAGTTTGCACATGTTTCAAGTTTCAGAATTTCTACATTTGAAAATGCTTATTACCACTTTCTTAGTGCAGCCCCATTTCTAGCATGCTGCCTTTTTGCTTTTGCTACTTTTTCTGCATTACTATTTTTTCTGCTGCACTATTACTGGATTTTGCTGTCCTTTTGCATTGCTCTCCTTTATTCACTTGCTCTTGGGTTGTCCTTGTGGTCCATGCTTCTCCTCTTGATAGAATTTTGGAATTCTGAATTTTGGCATGTAAGTGAACCAACATGATCTAGTTCCTCAAGTTTTGTGACATGGTTTGTTTGGTTGGGAATTAGTTGGTCATGGGGCTGTTTTGGATCAATTTAAAAATGCCTTGAAATTGCCCATGAATAAGAATAAATGCTTTTGCTTTTGAAATGCTCCAATGTTGAATTAAACCTTAATTATTTTCCTTGGATATTTGTGGGTTTAATTGGTTATGAATTGTATGTAGCACATGGAGATTTGATGAGGATGAAGGGTACCATGACATGAAATTAATTAGAAACTTGAATCAAGATTATAAATAGATTAATTTCTAAACATTACTTTGAGTTGGATATTTTGTAACAAATGGCATTCTTATAATGTCATGAAATTTCTCTTTGTAATATTCTAGTCTTGAACTCATGAATCTTGAACTTTGAATGATGGATTTCCCTTATACCATTATTTGGAATGAATGGAATCTTGACTTATGATCTCGCAATTTTATGTTCATTAGGAACATTGACTTTGAATATTTTTTTCAAGTAACTTTTCTTTGGAGAAAACTACATGAGTAGACTTTCCAACTTAGATCAAACCTTAGATGATGAATCATTTCTTCCATGTAACTCATGATAAGCAATTTATCTTGTTTGAAATGGAAAACAAATGAACTGGCCCAAACCTTAACTTGTAAACCCACATGCTCGATATGCGTTATAACGATGTATGATATGACGAATGTAGGGTATGAAAGGCAAAAGGTGAAAACGAGGGTGTGACAAGTAGGTATTGATCAATTATGAAAGCTTAATCGGAAATAAATCAAACCAGCTAAGAGAATAATGCATGAATACACTCTAAGAAAGAAAAAGTGCATAATGGAATTATTTAGGCTCAAACCTTACCAGATGAGGTATTTGCAGGTTGAGTACAAGTCGGTTGATTCTTTTCTCTTCCATTACCTTCAAGTCCTCGATTTCTTTCCTTATGATCAATTCACTTCTCTTCTTATTTTTTTCTTGGATCGTGTGTTCAATGCTACAATTAACTTTGTAAATC